CAGAGGTGACAGCCCCGCCACTGGCAGGCCACCTAGGCCCCGCAGCCAGCCCCAGCCAAAACCACGGACCAGGTGGCCCGCTCTTCCTCCAGGCCCCAGACTCCAGGCGGCACCCGGAGAACAGGGGTGTGAGAAGACCCCGATCCTCACTACGCCCGCTCGAATGTGGTGTTGTTGCGTGTTGCTCTCAGATGCAATTAAAACTGGGAGTACCAAGAGGGGGTGTCCGGCACACTCCACCCCCCCTCCAGGAGATAGACGGTGCCAGCACACCCCCCCCTTCGCCATCCCTCAACCCTCAATGTCTAGATGCGAGAGGGGATGGAGGCGGCCAACCGTGGTGAGGCCCATAAAACAAGCCCCCCCCCGGTGGCCCTGACCCCCACCCCCCGAAAATGCCCTACATAGATGTGTGTTGTGAAAATGATGTAGATGGAAGTGTCTAAAATGCAAAATAAAATTGGTGTGGGGGACGTCATCAGAAGGTGTGGCCCTCCAGTAAGTAGTAGTAGGCAGCAACTTTTAAGTTAGAAAACGTGCCACTTTTTTTTTTTTTGACAACTTGTCATATAGCTCTTTAAATCTAGAATTCTTTGCTTCCATCTCTTGAATATTGAAAAAAATGTTAAATATCTTCTCCAGGAGTACTAAGAAACTAGTCTAAGCATTTATACAAGGATGGACTATTGCAACTTGCCACTATCAGGAAGTCCATAAACTACAGTCAAAAGCCTTCAGCTGATCCAAAATGCTGCAGCCAAAGTTGCGATGAAAATTAAAAAGAGAGATCATATTTCTCCTTTATAACTTATTTTCATTGGCTCCCTGGTCAATCCAGAACTGAATTTTAAATTCTCTCTATCACATAAACACATGGACAAGAAAACCCACAATGGTAACAGAAACAACTTGATGTTGCTAAACATTACCAAAGGGACATGTTCAATCCAAGTGTGTCCACTAATTACTATCACAGGTGTTTACAATCTTGAAATCAGTGGGCCTATATACCATATAGGGCAGCAGGTATTCACTGTGCTGTTCGGTGACATGGTGTGTACCACGCTCAACATGGAACAAGGGAAGTGAAGGAAAGAGTAGTCATGGGAAATTAAAAAGAAACATCACAGACAAGCATGTTAAAGATAAAGGCAATAAGACCATCTCCAAGCAGCCTGATGTTCCTCTGACTACAGTTGTACATATTATTCAGAAATTTGAAATCCATGGAACTGTAGCACAACCTCCCCTGGCCACAGGAAAAAACTGTATGAGAAAACAAGAGGCAGATAATAGGAATGATCACAAAAGGGCTCAGAAAATTTTCTGAAGAGATTAAAGGTGAATTTCAAACTCTTGTTCCATCTCTGAAGTGCTTCAGTTCTTGGTCTTGTTTCTCTCTTAGACATAGCCATGAGCTTAGCTTTTTCTGTAATTAGTGTATATCTTGTTTTTGATCCTTTTTGACAAAAAAACAAAACAAAAAAAAACGACTCAGAGGCAAAAATAAATAAAATCTCATACTGAACGAGGTAAGTGCCACTGACTGACAGTCACTGAGATGTCTAATGTTTTCTCCTTTTTTGTAGAGGGTTGATGATGAAGGACTTTAACCATGGTGGGATGAAGCACTGGGTGAGAATCTTATGAAAGATGGGGGTTAAAAACCTAAGCTAGCTGGTCTGCAGTCCCTCAGCACCCTCCCTGTCACACTGCCACTAGCTATTTGAGGGTTCACTGGCTTCAGCATTCACCATACTTCCTGTAACTGTGCAGTGATGGTCTGGCTGTGAAGCAATGGCCGTTCCAGTAAGGACTCTGCTGGTGATTCAGCTTGAAATAGACAAAGAAGTGATTCAACTCCTCTGCCAGAAAAGCCTTCCCAAAGATTTCACTTTTATTGCTGAATCTGAAATTAGTGATGCAATAGAAACTGTGCCACACCTCTGCTAGTACAGTAGTTGGCTGTGGCCTCTCTTATTCCCCCTCTTCAAAGAGGCTTGGGCACAGCTGTGTATGTCCTGGTCTCCAGACCTCAACAGTTTCTCAACCTTCTTGTTTATCCAGGGCTTCTGATTGTGAAATGTGCCTGTCCACTATGATGGTGTTGACATAAATATCAGATGCAACAAAGTGCTGGTGAGGTGAATACCCCGTGATGCCAGAAAAAAATACCAGTTGGTTACTATACAGTCCTGCAGCTTATGAGTAGTGCCCTCAGGAAATTTTATGCCAGAATAAGAACCAGCAACATGTGATCACCTTAAACAGGGCAGCTCATTGGCCTTGTATTAATGCTTGATGTTAAAATAAGCTTTATGCAGTGTCTTAGCTCCCCTTGTGGCAAATCCACATGGTTAAGATCCTCTGCCTTCATGTGCGCTGCTTCTGTTGTGTTTATGACTGAGAGCATTAACTAAGTGTCTAAGAGCTGTAAAGGGATTAGCATCAGGTGGAATGTTTACAGCAGTTATGACAGTTACCAGTAACTTCCTCTTAAGGTCTCATGGGACAGATACGACTGCTTGCATCTAAGGTTCATAAGTTCCAGGTCTGCTGAATAATGCTTGTTTATTTGCACACTAACTGTTCTTCACACTTACTGGAGCTGTGGATCTCATTGCATCTATTCTGCTGTGCATCATACCAGCTTGATAGCTGTGTCTGGAATGGATGAGTAAGGCCAGCATAATGCAACAGTCATGTAGAAGTCTGCCTGATGCCAACGGAAGCTTCAGCTCATCTATATTATTTGTGAAGGGTCTGGCATTTGAGAGAAAAATGCTGGGTAGCAGCAAGTTGTGTGTCCCTCTCTGTAGCTGTACCAAGGTGCCAGCCAAGGATCCCTGATTTTGTTTCGTCTCATTTCGTCACTCTTTCCTTTGATGGTTGTATGTCCTGCGATATATTATGCATGTTTAAAAAGTTCATTATTATGCACTGTTCACTCTGTAAACCTATGTGGGAGAGATTTTGTTGACTGTAGGTGTTCCTTGATATGTTAATAAAAGTAATAAAAAAACATCTTAAAAAATGCCAAGACAAGAGGAGCTCTGAACCGCCCCATCTGTGGACACCACCAACCTTTAACCTTTAAAGTGCCTTGAGATGATGTGATGTGAATTACCTTTAGACAAACAAAACAGCTTCTACTTTCAAGCAGATCAAAACTCTGAGGAAGGATAAAATAAAGTTTTTCATTGTCTTTAAAGGTAAAGTCTAACTTCCTGCTTAACACTCAAAGGTATTAGTGCCACCTCATACAAATAAGCAATAATATTATCTTTATACTTTAAGCAATAATATTATCTTTCTACTTTAAGCAATAATATTATCTTTATACATTTTATTACATTAACAAAATCCAGAGTTCCTACAGCCTTTTGATATAAAAATAAAACTTATATATTCTGAGTTCTCTGTCCCAGATGATCATTGTGATAAATACAAAATATTGAAGGTAAAAGTGGATTTATGAGAAAAAAATGTGTGGTTGAAATTTAGAAACCAGAAAAAAAAGGAAGGAGAAGAAGTGAAGAAAGGATGGGAGCAGGATAGAAGGGAGGTTTGGCAAAAGGGCAGAAACTATAAAGGAAAATAAGGAATGGAAGAGAGAAGGGAAGAAGAACAAGTTAGGAGGGACACTAGTGGAAAAAATACGTAAAGCAGCTGTAGCAGGCAAGGTAGGAATGGAGACCTGACCCAAAAAGGGAACGGACAATACCGGTAGATGAGCGATGGGGCATAAGGGTGCAGAAGAAGAAAGTAAGGAAACAAGGAGGGGAACGCAGGGAGGGCAAAATAAATCATAGGTAGGAGACAAAGAAGGGAGAATAGACAGAAGAAGAAAAAAAACAAAGAGGGAAAGAGGTAAAAGCACAAAAACGGAAAGGTTTTTGAACGAAAGAGGGAAAGGATAAACGAAACAAATAAGTAAGCAAGGCTAAAAATAGAAGAAAAAAGTAGCACATAAAAATAGAAAGGTTCAATCCCAAACAGTCCCCTAAGCAATAACTCAACCCTCCGGTTGCGTTTTCCTGCGGAAGGTCCACCACATTGAAGGCCATTCCAAAACATTTAGTGGGTAGGGTGAGTGGACCTTAAGTTCCATCAGTTTGCTGCATCTTCATCACATTTATGAAAAATCCAAAGTTAGGCATAAAAAAAAAAAAATTAGATAAATTCCTAAATGGAAGGCCCTCCTTAATTAAGTTGTATTTGAGCATAAACTTTTGTTTTAAGAAAGATATATATATTATATATTTGACATATATATTAAGGTATATAGGAGATATTTTAATCTCACCCTGCACCACAGAGCTACAGCCACACACATGGGGTTATCAATGTATAGCCACAGCAATGACTGCTTTCTTTTTCCGTTGGAGAGACGAAGTCGTCCCATTCTCGTTTACACCCCCCACCTTTAATCAAGACGCCTTTCACAGCTGTGAGCGTGACTTTATTGCGAGTGCTTGGGGAGCGGTTTGGGATTAAGTCATAGAAAAGGAAAGGAATCAAAGAAGGGAGGAGGTGGGACAAAATAATGAAGGACACAAAGGAAAAACATAAGATACCCTGTGAGGATGGAAGGATGCCCGAATATAAAACAATGGGAGATACAATAGGATTGTTTTTGTTTTTTTTGTTTTTTTGTGCAGGAACAAGGAAGATGGATAGATTTAATTATCAAAGGCTCTCTTTGATAATGCAGAAGAACCCCAAACAGAAAGAGCTAAAATGGAAAAGATAAGTTAAAATGGTTCAGTTAAAGCTAATCCAAAGGAGAACATCTGCAATACTTTCAAAAGTATTATCTACACAGGCTACCCATCCAGTCTGACTGATTTTTAACTATTTGGAAATAAAGAATGAGCATAAAGTTTTGACCCTAGGATGTAAAAAGCTGGGGTTCTATAGCTGTTTTAAGCAACAGGTCATAGATAAAAAAAAAGCTGAATTTTATTTTATAGACCACTCCAGGTAATAGTGTGTTTTACCTTGGCAGTTGAGCAGGAAGTAACTCATGTTGTGACTGAAGGAGCCGCTGACGTAGCCACAGCTGTCGGCCAAGGCACAGGACAGGCAGCGTCGGTTAAATGATCCAAATGTGTCGGCGCTGAACAAAAATAAGGAAATCAATCCGTTGATGTTCAGCTTTTTAAACACATCTTTTTTCTTAAGAGCAGCCATTACCTGTACAAGTGTCTCCTCTTCGGTCCGTCTTCAGTACTCAGGAAGTATCTGAGTTATTAGAGGAAAAGAACATGAAAACTCAGTAATAGGGAATAGGACATGTTCAGTATGGAAGAAAATAAACTACCTGGAACACAGCTGCTCACTGAAATAGATGCTTCAGGAATGAATAATAGTGAAAATAATAAAATGGGGCACATCTTCCCCCAAAGGGTGAAGCTAGACTTTATTTTCGGAGGAAAGACTTTTCCAAACAAACTTTCCTCTTTGTGCAGAGCCTTGAAGTTATAGTGTTACTTTGAATGTTTATGTGTAGATATGCTTATGAAATCAGAGGCGGATCAATGATTCTTTATTTGAAAAAAAAAAGGATCTACTTATCAAAGTAGGATTAGAGTTCCACCAGAGACACAAAGCTCCGATACGCCCACATTTAGGGTGCTTTGTTCTGTTCAGAATGATGATTGTCGTGGATTGAAGGAGGATTTGCAGTGACATTTTAACTAAGGCAGAAATGTCATGCATTTCCATAGTTATATCAAAAAGACGACTAGACAATGTGCATATTTTGTGTTGTTTAGCTCCTTGAGAATTAGTTTTTGGAGCCAGAAAAGCTGGTTGCTTTTTTAATTTATCGTTTAACTAAATAATTTACACTATGTTGTCTATGCTGATATTTTCAATTTCCTATTGAGGGGAAAATATTCTAGAGGTATTAAATTTGGCAGTCCTAAAAAATGGCTTAACAACTCGCTGCATCAGTACAGTTCAGAAAATAAATCTCTGCTGTTCACTTATGAATGTGATCCAACCTCGATCTGAAAGCAGCTAAAAGTTGCAGGCTTTAGCCAATGCCTTCAGGCATATGTTGCAAAGTGAGATGTAGTAAAACCAATAAACAAAGTCCACTACTTTATAAAGCATAAAGCCCCAAGCAACTTTGTAGACAACTTCATAATTTGTCAGCATTCTATTCATATAACTTACCCCCAGAAACACAATAATATGTTTAATTCTCAATATTTTCCCCAAGCTCTACATCTACTTCCTGTATTTTCATCCTTTAGCCAAGCCAATCTGGACTCTAAACAGGCTAAATGTTCTAGCGTAGATTTCAATTAGAGGTTTTAGCTTTTTCTGCGTGAAAACAAACAAAATCATCCTAAAAATGTTAAAGTTAAAGTCATCAACTAATCCGATTAGAGACGTCTAAACAGAGTGGGACAGAAAGGCATCCATGAGTGGAGACTTAAAGGTATAGTGCAGGATGTTCTTTTTCCGGGTGGATCATCATCCTTCGTGTTCGTCCCCATTTTCACTTACCGGTGATGAATCTGACATAGTGGAAAAATTAGCAAATCTTCTTTTGGAAAGTAAGCTTGTATGAGCGATGCAAACAGCAACTTCTAAACAGAGCGTGGATGAGGAGAAATGGGCTCGTGCACGCTCTCGCACGTGTTTAATAGGCGTTCCCTCTCAGCAGCGGGTACAGGGTTGTGCATGTGCATTTTTTTTAAGTGGAGAAAGCAGGTCTTTTTTAAAAATTTCCAAAAAACCTCCTCTATACCTTTAAGAAAGGCTGTTGGATGAGCTATACCCCTAAAGTTACTTAAGAGCATCACATTTTGCTTTATAGGATAAACAGATCCTAAAAATAAAATCTTGAGGAAACAATGACAGCTTTGCATTATTGATCAAATGTATTGGCTGACTTTACTAACCAAAAAATGTGAAGCTACCAACAAGTAAGATTTTATTTTTATATAAACATTCATGACCAAAAAAAACAACAAAAAAATGACTTGGAGCTGTTTTTGTGAACTTACACCACTTGGCTGTCTTCATTGTAGGCCAGGACCTTGGTGACATCCCAGTCTCCAGATGTAATGGATTGCAGGGTGTCTATACTGGTGTTGGGCTTCAGGAACAGAAGAGAGAAAACAAAAAGCATTTTGTATTTAATTTTTAAATAAATACAAAGCCTAGGAAAAACTATAACCTTTAAACGGTTTGTTTTATGAATTGTATTCACTGATAATAATTAATGACAAACTAATACAATTACAAATGAAGCTGGTGAGATTTAATAGCCTAGACAAAAACACTTATCGAAATCACATTAATGTATGTTTTTTAGTTGCTTTGGTAGAATGTCATAATTATCACAAATATACATACTGCTACGAAACATCAATGTGATCACTATCTGTACAATGTTTTACTTGGTGTATAGAGTTAATCAAATATATGTACTTTCTAATAATAAGATGTACCTGGAAAGCTTTTTTAAATTCATGGGAGACGATATTATCATCTTAGATCATGAAGGATACGAAAAGGCTGAGGAGACACCAAAGCAATGAGATCATGAAATCACAAATGCCTTTCTATGCATTGCAGTTCTATGCTTTTGCTCAGGAACGTTTTATTTTAGTTTTGTTTTTCCCCTCGGTATACACAGGGGGAAAATACAGCAGCAGCCCTTCCTCCAGCTGTAACTAGCCCTGAGTGAGGAAACATTTAGCTCTTTTTCCGATCTACAGAATGGTTTTGGTTTGTTGGTTTAACTGATTATCAACTGATTACCAACTCATCACATTTACTAAACACCCACCACTGTATCTGAGAGCTTGATTACACATGGCTGACACAAATATTTATGAATACCGACACAAAGATTTATGTCTATTTAATGGCATCCAAACCAGAAACCTTCATAATAAGAGGCTAATCCACACATAAAGTGCTATAAAGGCAGTTAAACGTGCTTACATTATCTTCTCTGTTTCTTCTCTATGCTGGGTACATTATATGCTTAGGCTGTTATCTGTCATCTATGTGTGAATGAAAACATAATAAGTGACTATAGTGTTAAATTAGTGCTAGCTACAGTAGTATTAATTACATCTACCTGAATGGTGGTGTTATTAAGTTCTTTTTTTATGTGCTTAGGAATTGAAACATTTCTAATAAATGGGAATTGTTTAAAATATGAACTGATTATAATCTATTAACAAATGCCCATTGCTCTAATAACAGGATGATTTTCTTTTAGATCATGTTCTAAAGTAAGGATGATATGGTAAAGCTGAAATTGGGATTTAAACTAAAATAAAAGGGAATTCATTGTTTTTCTCCACCAGTAGCTCAGAGTGGGTTTAATTTTAATCTTAGCAGAATTAAGCCATATCCTCCTTGTTTGCTGTGTGCACCACATGGTTTGTTCAAATTAAACTTTCATCAATTGAGCTTAAAATCTTCCTGCTATTTAATGGTGGTCAGATTAAAGCAAAAGTAATGGCATACCAGTATTTATGCAAACCCTCCAGAGGATAAATTGGCCTCTAGTTGCTTTTTTTGATAAATATTATCCTCTTCTGGCCTCTGATCTGTAGGTAAGTCTGCTGGTGGAAGATCCTATTATCACGTTCAGATAATGCATTGAATATAGTGAGATGTTCAAAGCTTGAGTTATTAGTCTATAACCTAGCCTTTCTTTTAACTCCTCTGTGTGTTGCATGCTGTGTCCCTTGGTTTTCATGATGGTTTCTGTTCACTAGTGCTCCTTAACAAACCATTGGAGGAAATTTACAGAGAAGCTGCATTTTTGTAAAGGAATTTTTATGAATACAACTGCTTGTGGCAAAAACTAGAAAAATGATGCACTACTTTGCATTTGTTCATCGCATAAGATTCCAATAGATCACATTTAAGTTTTTGGTTATAATATAGAAAAATGTAGAAATCTGCAGTAAATCACTTTTTGTTTGAAAAGTGAGCAATAAAAGGAAACAGGGACTTTATATTTAGACTGATTTCCTCTATTACCCGATTTTTCAAGTGAGATTGCTGAGCATCCTGGGTAGCAATATATCAATGTTCCCTCCTCAGATGCAGCCCCGAGCTTAACCACGAGGCAGACGACCAACGTCTAAAGCAGAGAAACTTCCACACTTTACTTTATTGCTCATTTAGGCGCTGCACAGCTGCTGTTTGTCTATTTCAGCTGAAAGCCTGAAGCACATTCATCTACCTGCTGGCAGCAGTTACTGCACATTGTGCCGGGCTGCAGAGATAAATCTGAGCATCCTTAAAATGTTCTGTGCCTTAATACGTTACTTGTTGAAAAATGTACCTCTGGATGGAGGATCAGGGAAGGAGGACTGGTTTATTACCCAGTTCAAGGTCTGATTTCAGCTTTTTTTTAACATGACTAGAAAAAAAGCTGCAATATCCATCTATTTTCTGCAGCTGCTTTTCCTTGCAGGGTCAAGGGGGCCAGCTACCAACTCCAACAATAATTAGGAGAGAGGAGAGGTAAACTCAGGACAGGGCGACAAAGAGACGCACTGCAGAACCAACCACACAACCATTCCCTTATTCCTATAAAAGGCAATGTAGTTAGACTGATGATTACCCTAACATTGCATATACTTTTGGAATGTGAGAAGAGGCCAGAGCACCTGGAGTAAGCACGCTCTGAGCAGAAAGATCGCAGGCAGGAATTAAATAACTTTCTTGGTATTGGGCCGAAGTGGTAACTAGGGCGGAAAAATTATCTGTATTTGCACTCTATTCTCTACTGTTTTAAAAAGAAAAAGCCCCCTAATTGGTGGTAAGATGCATAGAGTGGGTTTTCCACCATGCAGAAAGGAAGAGAGAGTTGCAGGTGGTATCCAGATCCATGCATGCAAGGGGTAAGCAGTTTTCTATGCAACAGCAAAGTCCCATCTTTGGACTCTGGGAAAAAAAAAAATTAAATAAAATTTGGAGTCTAATATGCATATACTTCCAGAGAAAAATATCAAAATAAAGTTGCCTTGGCAATTTTGGTTAAAAAACAAACAAAAAAAGATTTTTGGCAAAGATGGCTTAACCATAGCTCTAACCATAGAGCCACCCTGCTGCTCAGAAAATGCACTGGTGTGTGCTGAAGTGGGATCTACAAAAATCTAAAAAATAGCCTGAAGTAGATGGTTTTTTTTCTACCTGGTTTAAACTTAGCTTGCTGATAAAATTTGTATCAGCATTTCTTTTGATGGGAAGTGTTTCAGCGCATCATATAAGTAAATAAGTAAGTAAATAAAATGACTCTAAATGTTTGTGTTATCAGTGATGTATGGAGGAGATCTTATCAGAGCTGGAAGATTAATCATTTTATCTATTGATCAAATGTTTTGTTTAAAATGATTAAATTTTTGGAAAATCTGTTTTTTTTTTTCTTACAAATTTCCCTACACAGGCCACCATGGCTCATAGTGATATCACTTAAGTTTTTGAATCGTTTCGATTCTTAGATCTGTCCTTATAAATAATAAACTAGCTCCCTGTGTGAACCCACTAGCTGCAAACATTTAATATGTTTATATTTAAAAACGATTATTTCACAAGCTTGTTTCACTGTGGAATCTCTTTGCCCTTTATCTTACTGTCGCCTTCTAGAGGCCATGAATGAAATCTAAGCTACTTTTTGAAAGTAATATGATGCATTTATTATTTTTATTATGAAACTTAAGTAAGAAAAAAAAAACTGCATTTGCTTGGAAAAATTTAGGGAAAGGATTTCCAAGTCATATCTCCCAGTCCCAGTAATGTTAAACCATTCTATGAAAATAACTCAATGGAGTCTCTTAAAAGACTCACACCACAAGAACAGTGTGCTGGATAATCACACTAAAACAACTGTGATTAATCTATTATTGAAATAATTGTCAAGTAATTCATTAGCCTGAGTAAATAGACTCTAAAGGATTTAGTATCACAGGAACCCACCCAGAAAATTAATAAAACTAAAACAATATAGAAAATCTTTCTTAAGCTCTATCCAGGACCTATGAATTGCTATAGTTTTAGGCTTTCATTCTGTATAATTTATTAATTATTCTTAAATTTTTTCTTTAAAGAAATATTAATTTAGCTCTACACTGTAATGTTGTTAAGTCAACCCGAACAGGCTTCTCTGCTGATGTAGCCTTGCAATAAGTCTTCCGAGGTATACATATTGTGTTTTAGCCAATAAAACATTTACTTAAAAAAACAAAATAAAATAAAAAATTTGCATTCTGATTTATACATCTTAAATACTCAAGCTAAGGTAGAAATATGAAAAATCTGCAAAATGAGACAATTACTGTAATTCCTACCTAATAGATGTCAGAACAGCAGATTATTAAAAATAATCATTAGCTGCAACTAGAGTGCAGAACTTTTTTATTTAAAAACAGTGACTTTATTTTTATAATTATTATTAATTTACCATTCTGTTTTTTTCCTCCTAAGGTATCTATTCCTAACAATATATTTCCAATATTTTTATATTACAACAACCTCTACGCATTTAATATATTTATATTTAAGTATTTAATATTTAAGTGTTCAACATTTCAATCAGCTTCTAACATCTGACAGAGCTCTTTATATCATCTGAAACGAAAAGAGGATGCAGACCTGCCAAAACATGGCAATCCACCTGAGTGAGACAAGGAGAGCATTGATCAGATCTGATAAATCTGTCACCATAGCAACCATCAACGCTCAGAGGCACCTTCATGTTTATCAGTTTGCTTGAGGTGCAATAACAAACTGTGGTTCTCATCCCCTACACAGAAGAAATTTCAGACTAAGGGTGTATTTGGAACAGAAACAACTTTTGGCTCATTTACTGCTGTTTCCTTTTATTTTAACCTTTTTTTTATCATTTAACTTGCAGAAGAAGCAAAAATCAGGATCGTCACTCTGATCATTGTCAAGACCATTACATCTGAGAGAAATGACTTGGATGGGAGAGAGCACACATGAAAGAGGAGAGGAAAATGGAGGCGGAAATTACATTTCCATCAATATCTAACTTGTTGCTGCGCCTTTTCAGAGGGCATCATTCATATAGCTTGTAAAAAGTTACAATAGTGGGTGGATCACTACTATTTGGAATACCAGAATGGGTTGGGAGATGCTGCCCCGAAGGACAGAAAAAACACAAGTAAAAAGGATTTCAGAAGAACTGTGTAAAAATGTAGATCACCTAAAGGACTAACGTTTGCAGATTGCTAACAGCCATGTAAGGGGCGCAGCAGACATCTAGAAGAACGTCGCCATGGTTACATGATGAGACCCGTATTGATTTTTTTGGGCTGCATGTCAAAATCTGCCCTCTCAAAATCACATCCCCACAGGAAAACACATCAGTGGCAGCATCATGCTCTGAGAATGCTTTTCTTCATCAACAAACAGGGGAGTTTGTTGAATGGATATGGATATAAATGGAGCTAAATACAGGAAAAATACTGAAAAAACTAAAAAAAAAAAAAAAAACCTTTCATCATGTGAATCGGATGGATGCTAACGATTCAGCAAAACAAAACAGAGCTACAGTGGCACGGCATTAATTACATTCATGTGTTAGTGTTACCAAGTGTAAATATTAGGGATGCACGACATAATCGGCCCCCTATCGGTATCGGCCTGTATCGGCCTTAAAACTGAATATCGGACATCGGCCACCCCACCGATATTTAACCCGATATTTGATCAGCTTCTGAGTTTCTAAAGTCTAAAAAAAAAAAAAAAAAAAAAAAAATACTACTTCTTCTTCTTCCTCAAAAACTTCTTTTTTACAGACTTAAAAAAATCCAAAAGACGAGGGAAAAAATATTGATACATTTAAATATCACAATATCTTCATATGCTGATATATTGCCATTTAAAAACACCATATCAATCTCTTTTACTAATGAAATATTGCTATATGTCATCGTTATGCTACGAAATCCCCCGAAAAGTCACAAAATTTTGCTATCGATTTTAACTAACCAAATTTTACAAGAATTTGCAAAATATCACGAGAGTTTGTAACAGAACGATGAAATTTCACGAGATTTTGAAGGTAAAATAGATCGATACTGCGTTTTTAAATATCAATTTGATATCAGCATATGAAAATATATTTGAGTATATTATTTTTCAGTGTCAGAAATGGATAACAAAACTTGGCCATTATCGGCTACATGAGTTTTAAAATATCGGCATATCGGATATCGGCCAAAATCCCAATATCGTGCATCCCTAGTAAATATAACTGAACCTATGGTTAACCTAAATATGATTGTTCATGGACACAACGAAGGGTGCTTCTATAGAGCTATGACTCAGCGGCACTGAAAAAAAAAAATAAAAATAAAATTTCTGATTTTATATCTCTAAAAGAATCCTTTAAAATCAAAGTTGTTTGTAAAGTGAAAAAAATAGAAACTGTTAGGCAGTGTTTATACGGCGTCTATGTCAACACTGCCACTTCTGTTTATTGCTAGAATAACATCCTTTATTTAGAATACCTTTGTATTAACATCATAAGGAAGTATATTCCAAGTGTATTTTTCTAACCTGAGAGACGGACATGGAGATGTGGAAGAACTTCCCACGGCCTCCTTGGGGAATGGCGCGAGTGAAGAAGAGCTTGAGGCCGTCTTTAGAAAACAGAGGCTCCTCATTCTGAAGAGAAACAAATGATTTTTCATTTTTGTTACTAAAAAAAACAGCAAAAAAAGACCACCAAAACCACAACAAACACAATGGCCAATTACGATTGATAAAAGACAGAAATAAAAATAACTGATTATGCTTAAATCAGTCTGTAATCGGCCAGAAAATGCAGAAAAAAGCTAATTTAACTCATTGAATCATTATTTTTACAACTTAATTCTTTTTACAGCTCATCAAAACCTCCAAACATCAGTTCAAAATGTGTTCAACACACTCACCTGCCTGTAGAGCCAGCCTTCGCTTTCATCTTCGTGTTTCTGGAAGAACAGATTGCCAGTTTTCAGTCGACACACGGAAAACAGCCTCAGGCACAAAAAGCTCTCATAAGACACACGCTGGACCGTACCTTTGTGCAGACGCCCGTCGTGGCCTCACACAGCGTCAGCATGGAAATGTTCTGGGCTCTGTTCAGCCAGTTAATGGCCAGCTTGGTCGCGGTGGCCCACTTCACCATCGTCACGTAGTATTCACTGAAAAACACAGTCAACAGCTTCAAGCTGTGCTGTTTGAATACGCCATGAGTGGGTAAAAGCACTGAAACCCCCCATTAACCAACTGCAGATGGTAAAACTAAAATAGAATGGCAAATATAATAGAGAAAGATGTATATTAGAGAGGCAGCGACAGATGTGAAGTATGCTTTTCAAACTCTACAGAGACGTTAAATTTAATAAGACTTAGAAGCACATTAACCTAAAAGGAGAACAAAGCAGACATCATCTCATATTCACGATAACAGCAGCAGCACTTCGAGAGCACCTTTATATTGGGCTTTTTCTGTGTGCTTTAACCTTAGGGCTGTTTTTGAACTGCATGTTTAATCCAGCAAATTTCAATTTTTTTTATACTGATGGTCTGCTGTTAAGAGAAACTATGGGAGCAAACTTAACATGTAACAGTTGCAATATTTTCCTCCATATATGAAGATAACTGGATAAACTGGAGAAAACACCTGGCAGCAGGTTTTTAGACACATCTCTGTTATTTTCATTTTTTTTGGAATTAAATATTAATAAAATGAATGATTTTCTCCCACAATTTGAAGAGAGAGTAAAAAAGTTAAGCATAAGCCTAAAAAAATCACAGAGTTCAACTAGATATCTACAGGCAACAAAGTCCTGTAAAGTGAATTAAATTAGCATTTTCTACCAAAATTTCAAGTATGGTTAAAAAAGTGCCAATTTACTGGCAAATCCAACTACAAACACATTCTTTGAAGTGGAAGCTGTTATTCAGCAAAGTCTTTCAAATTGGCAACTACAGTAAGTATCAGAGACTTGTTAAAAGGCACCCTGCTACCACAGGCTACATGGTTCTTAGCCTATTTTGCAATCGTTTCCGGTACGCTTTTTTTCACCCCGACCTGGAACCTGCATTACGGCCCCTGTACTGGACCAGGGGCCAATATGTAACACGAAAAGAGTCATGTTCACTTATAAGCAAATATGTTTGATCGGCCATATATCAGCAGCAGCTGAGTGGCGAGCAATGTAAGGAGTTTGCTGACGTAAATAAAGTTATGTACCAGAATCCAATCTTTATGTTTATATTGACCCGTATTTGACCTTTTCAAAGCAGTTGAAGTGAATCAATTCTACTGAGCTGCTAAAAAAAAACAAAAAAACAACTTTCTCCTGTGCACCAGTTAGATTCACCAGATATTTTCTCACATGATCACATGAGTATTTTGGATAACCGTGTTGATTGAAATGGATGTACATGAACTAATCAGGCTATATTTTCAGTTTGGCCTATCATACAAAGACATTGCTGTATTGCATGCAAGACGTCAACTTTATGTTGTGTCTTAACATCACTTTAAACATATCCAGACGTCCTGCGGTCGGTCTATTTTGGCGCAAAGGATAGACAAACCTTGATTATGTTGTGAAATTCATTCACAACTGCAAACGAATGGTCAACTGAACGGATATAGATGGATGATTACGAAATGTTTGGAAAGTGGATTAAAGGTTAAAAAAAAGAAGAGGTGCACACAAGAAAGTTTTCAGTGGCCCTTTAGGGGCCCTGAACAATTCTACTTTGTTCACCTAAAACAAAACCTGGTTGAAGCCATTTATATATATATATATATATATATATATATATATATATATATATATATATATATATATATATATATATATATATAGCATAGCCAGTAGTTTTCAAAGCATCTGCATTCTAAATGGTCAAACTGCATGTTTCTGACTACCTCCCCCCAGGGCTCTGTCCAGCGGATCTAAGCCCAGGCGCTGGTTAAGCTGAAGGTTTTTAAAAATACTCTGAAATTGTGCAGATGCGCTGACTTACATTATGTATTCTGGTTGTGGAACACAATTACCTCTTTATTGCAATTATACATGAGGAAAGGGCAGATCTTAAGTCTGTGTCCTTCTGTCTGTCATTAAATGAACCTGAGCGCTTTCAGGGAGGTGAACACATGCGCTGCCGCCCCCACCAGCAGACAGATAGCGGTGCAAAAATAACCACGTTAGGGGAGGATTCCCAAATGGCCGGTCTGTCAAGCTGAATCAAGCAAGTCAGTTTTTTTGGGGTGGGTTTTCTATGCATTTAAACGCACCACCGTCCGTCTCTATGTCATCCTAACAGATAGAGATGTGAACATTGCCTCCAACATGGAGAAAAGATGGAAAAATAAAGAAGTGGGCATAATAAGCAAAGAGCAAAAAAAAAAACAAAAACAAAAAAAAAAAACAAGAAAGAAAAGTAGCATGGAATGAAACCAAATGCCCCCTGGACTCCACCCATAATTAATGCTGGTGAGAACCCTACACACAGACTTTTTTGCAGCCGTGGCCACTGATTAATAGCAGTTTGCTGTTTTTCCCTTCCTTCCTTCTTTTTTATGTGTTCATGATACCGTCGGCTACGACGGAGTATTAGGGCCACACATGAAAAGAAAAAATATTTTTGCCATTACGAGATTAAACTCGACATGTCGACTTTAAAGTCGACATGTCGACATTAAACTCAACATTTCGAGAATAAAGTTGAAATGTCATGTTGAGTTTAATCTCGACGTGTCGACAATAAAGTTGAAATTAGTTCAAGAGAGCCAACCGCTCCACAGGTTACATGCACAGAATCCAGAATCAGACATGCCTTGTGTAGATGATTTGGTCAAATTGTACTTTCTGTGATGATTATACAGTTATACAGTTGCAGCACGTCAAAGACTACCTTCACTCTTAAAACGCAGACTGCAGCTGTGGAGCGCGGTTGCTCTTTTCTCCAAACTTTGGAATGTCGAGATTAAAGTCGCCACGATATATCAACTTTATTCTCGAAATGGCGAGATTAAACTCGACATGTCGACTTTAAAGTCGACATGTCGAGTTTAATCTCGTCATGGCAAAAATATTTTTTCTCTTCATGTGTGGCCCTAATACTCCGTCGTAGTCGGCTCCCATCGCTCAAGAGTTTAATAACAATTATTCACTAATCCACTTTATGTATTTTTCTTTTTTTAAAGAAAGCTTAATTGAACTCTTCCAGTGACAGTCAGAGCCGTTATTTCTGTTGCAGTGTTCTACTGTGTGACGGCTATATGCTCCTTCTGCCCATGCAGGTAGCTTTGCTGTCCGGAATCGCTTACACAGAAGTCTGATGGAAGTCACATTTAATTAGCAGGAATGTTGAAACATTGAAAAAATATATATATAAATTACAGAAAGAAAAAACAATTGAGCACCAAGGCCTAATGAAGAGGATAATGAGGCACACAGACCAAACAGAAAACCATTCAAATGTTTATGTAAAAAAAAAAAAAGAAACCTTTGTAAGGACAGTTTAAGTAATGTAATATGCTTATAGTTTCTAGAGGTTTAAGAATATCTTTATACTTGTTATAAATCTGAAACCATACCTGATAAGAGAAAAAAAAATGCACATGTAGGATTCAGAATTGAACTAGATCTTATAATAACCTAATTCAACCAATAAAACACAAACTCAACTGATCAGACACTTTCTCCTAAACCACACAAACTACAATGAAATAACTAATTAAATAGTCCATATAGAAAAAAACTATTAAAATAAAAAATAAATCCTGTTGTGCTAGACATTGAGTTGATTAACCTCAACCATCCCTTTTATACACAAAGCGTTAAACCATGCAGAGATGGTTAACTCTGGCTGTGTAAAAAAAATAATAATAAGAAGAAATGAGAGAGAGATGTCCAGCAGATAACAGGAGGGCTCCCGTTTTTTCTTCTTGAGCTAAAACATCCGTAACGTTAGTTAAATCAGCCACCAAAATAAGATGTTCCTTGAAGTTTAAAATCTGAGCTCTGCAAGCAGTTAATTTATTGTTAAATGAGTAAAACCCAGTTTTAAAGTGGCTGTTTTCTCACATAACAGGCTAGAAGTCACTACTGCTCTTCATAAATTATAAACTTTCTGCTCATGGCAGAAAGGCAAAAACCATGTTTTCAGATATGTTCCTATGTTGGAATTTCTAGAGAGAGAGAGATGTGATAGTCTAAAATGGATTATGGTAACCTAAACTTAATAGAAAACACTAAATAACAAATGTTGCATGGCCCAGGCTGTACAAGTGGGAACATTTATGGACATGGCTAGAAAAAAAAATCTCTGCCAAGTGAAACATTTTCACCTCAGGCGTGTTTTAACACTGAAGCTAGAAATTCATGTGATCGAATCAGTTTTCTTCTAACTTTGTTAGGCAAACTTTTTTAACACGTTTTAAACACGTTCTCGCCAGCTGTGGGGCATGGCACTGGAAATGTAATTCAGAGGCCAACAGCTTGCTGTTATTGATTTAACTGTGAACATCCCAACATGTGACCGCTTGAAAAACAAGCTGGGGACGTCGGTTTTAAAAGGTGAGGCTGTTCTTAGATAACCCCCATGCCTGGACAAAGTAGTATGGAGTAAAATGCAAAATGTACATTGCAGGAAGGTGTCAAAGCAGATAAGGGGCATCAAATCAATGTCTTCTAGATATATTTTCCGATTTATTCAAGGACATGCGTTGGGTAACATCACTAAATAATACCTGGGTTTAGCTTGTTAATAAATATAGCCGTTTTCCACCAACCCAGAAAAAAAAAAAAAGCTTTCCTGAAGCTGCATCACACCACTTTTGAAGGCTGAACAATGTCTGAGAGCTTTTACAGCAAAAAAAAAAGAACAAAACATATATATATATATATATATATATATATATATATATATATATATATATATATATATATATATATATACATATATACAGTGGGGCAAAAAAGTATTTAGTCAGCCACCAATAGTGCAAGTTCTCCCACTTAAAAATATGAGAGAGGCCGGTAATTTTCATCATAGATATACCTCAACTATGAGAGACAAAATGAGAAAAAAAATCCAGAAAATCACATTGTCTGATTTTTAAAGAATTTATTTGCAAAATATGGTGGAAAATAAGTATTTGGTCAATAACAAAAGTTCATCTCAATACTTTGTTATATACCCTTTGTTGGCAATGACAGAGATCAAACGTTTTCTGTAAGTCTTCACAAGGTTTTCACACACTGTTGCTGGTATTTTGGCCCATTCCTCCATGCAGATCTCCTCTAGAGCAGTGATGTTCTGGGGCTGTCGCTGGGCAACACGGACTTTCAACTCCCTCCAAAGATTTTCTATGGGGTTGAGATCTGGAGACTGGCTAGGCCACTCCAGGACCTTGAAATGCTTCTTACAAAGCCACTCCTTCGTTACCCGGGCGGTGTGTTTTGGATCATTGTCATGCTGAAAGATCCAGCCACGTTTCGTCTTCAATGCCCTTGCTGATGGAAGGAGGTTTTCACTAAAAATTTGATGATACATGGCCCTATTCATTCTTTCCTTCACACGGATCAGTCGTCCTGGTTCCTTAGCAGAAAAACAGCCCCAAAGCATGATGTTTCCACCCCCATGCTTCACTGTAGGTATGGTGTTCTTTGGATGCAACTCAGCACTCTCTCTCCTCCAAACACGACAAGTAGATTTTTTACCAAAAAGTTCTATTTTGGTTTCATCTGACCTTATGATATTCTCCCAGTCATCGTCTGGATCATCCAAATGCTCTCTAGCAAACTTGAGACGGGCCTTGACATGTACTGGCTTAAGCTGGGGCACATGTCTGGCACTGCAGGATTTGAGTCCCTGGCGGCGTAGTGTGTTACTGATGGTAGCCTTTGTTACTTTGGTCCCAGCTCTCTGCAGGTCATGGGATTTTTACTCACCGTTCTTGTGATCATTTTGACCCCACGGGGTGAGATCTAGTGTGGAGCCCTTACGAAGCCACTCCTTCGTTACCCGGGCGGTGTGTTTGGGATCATTGTCATGCTGAAAGACCCAGCCACGTTTCATCTTCAATGCCCTTGCTGATGGAAGGAGGTCTTGCGTGGAGCCCCAGATCGAGGAAGATTATCAGTGGTCTTGTATGTTTTCCATTTTCTAATAATTGATCCCACAGTTGATTTCTTCACACCAAGCTGTTTACCTATTGCAGATTCAGACTTCCCAGCCTGGTGCAGGTCTATCATTTTGTTTCGGGTGTCCTTTGACAGCTCTCTAGTTTTGGCCATGGTGGAGTTTAGAGTGTGACTGTTTGAGGTTGTGGACAGGTGTCTTTTATACTGATAACGAGTTCAAACAGGTACCATTAATGAAGGTAACGAGTGGAGGACAGAGGAGCCTCTTACAGAAGAAGTTACAGGTCTGTGAGAGCCAGAAATCTTGCTTGTTTGTAACTGACCAAATACTTATTTTCCACCATATTTTGCAAATAAATTCTTTAAAAATCAGACAATGTGATTTTCTGGATTTTTTTTCTCATTTTGTCTCTCATAGTTGAGATATATCTATGATGAAAATTACCAGCCTCTCTCATCTTTTTAAGTGGGAGAACTTGCACTATTGATGGCTGACTAAATACTTTTTTGCCCCACTGTATATATATATACACTATATTGCCAAAAGTATTTGCTCACCTGCCTTGACTCACATATGAGCTTAAGTGACATCCCGTTCCTAATCCATAGGGTTCAATATGACGTCGGTCCACCCTTTGCAGCTAGAACAGCTTCAACTCTTCTGGGAAGGCTGTCCACAAGGTTTAGGAGTGTGTTTATGGGAATTTTTGACCATTCTTCCAGAAGCGCATTTGTGAGGTTGCACACTGATGTTGGACGAGAAGGCCTGGCTCTCAGTCTCCGCTCTAATTCATCCCAAAGGTGTTCTATCGGGTTGAGGTCAGGACTCTGTGCAGGCCAGTCAAGTTCATCCACACCAGACTCTGTCATCCATGTCTTTATGGACCTTGCTTTGTGCACTGGTGCACAGTCATGTTGGAAGAGGAAGGGGCCAGCTCCAAACTGTTCCCACAAAGTTGGGAGCATGGAATTGTCCAAAATGTCTTGGGATGCTGAAGCATTCAGAGTTCCTTTCACTGGAACTAAGGGGCCAAGCCCAGCTCCTGAAAAACAACCCCACACCATAATCCCCCCTCCAACAAACTTTACACTTGGCACAATGCAGTCAGACAAGTACCGTTCTCCTGGCAACCGCCAAACCCAGACCCGTCCATCAGATTGCCAGATGGAGAAGCGCGATTCGTCACTCCAGAGAACGCGTCTCCACTGCTCTAGAGTCCAGTGGCGGCGTGCTTTACACCACCGCATCCGACGCTTTGCATTGCACTTGGTGATGTATGGCTTGGATGCAGCTGCTCGACCATGGAAACCCATTCCATGAAGCTCTCTGCGCACTGTTCTTGAGCTAATCTGAAGGCCACATGAAGTTTGGAGGTCTGTAGTGATTGACTCTGCAGAAAGTTGGCGACCTCTTCGCACTATGCGCGTCAGCATCCGCTGACCCCGCTCCGTCAGTTTACGTGGCCTACCACTTCGTGGCTGAGTTGCTGTCGTTCCCAAACACTTCCATTTTCTTATAATACAGCTGACAGTTGACTGTGGAATATTTAGGAGCGAGGAAATTTCACGACTGGATTTGTTGCACAGGTGGCATCCTATCACAGTTCCACGCTGGAATTCACTGAGCTCCTGAGAGCGACCCATTCTTTCACAAATGTTTGTAAAAACAGTCTGCATGCCTAGGTGCTTGAATTTATACACCTGTGGCCATGGAAGTGATTGGAACACCTGATTCCAATAATTTGGATGGGTGAGCAAATACTTTTGGCAATATAGTGTATATATATATATATATATATATTAGGGATGGGACGATTTATGAAAACCATTCGAACCGTTCGGTTCGACTGTCTCGGTTCGATTCGAGTGTGTTTCGTTCGGTTCATGCACTGCTCCTTTTTCTCATAGGCGAAGCGATTACACTCCAGAGCAGAAGGTGGCGGTACTGCGACCAAAGCCAACCACCAGTAGTAAACAAGAAGAAGCGAAGCAGCTTAGCCGGGTGTAGCAGGGAAAAAAATCAGTTGTTGTGGAGAATTGTGTCGGAATGGCGAGTGGGAAAGAACAGGAGTTGGAAGACGCGCCAGCAGCACTTTATAGGTTTGCTGTATGGGACCGCTTTGCATTTAGAGTGACCTACGATGACAGCGGAAAGAAAGTTGTGGATAAAAGTGCAACAGTGTGCAAGCATTGTGCAAAACGTTTTGTTTATGCTAACAGCAACATGACCAACATGTCATGCTAACCCCGAAATCCCTCATACTCCGTCAGCAACCCCCGCTGCGCTCCAGACCGGCTGCTCAAAGCAAAGCCTACAGCCTCCACTGTGGCTTCATCTGCTCCCCTCTGAATCCCTTGGAGATGGTAGAGAGCATGCGTGAGATGATTAAATTCAAAGCAGCAAAACATACGGAAATGATTCAGGGTTTCCGCGGATCATTTAAAATAATTACAATCCATTATTTTTTGGGGGATTTTTTCATTAATTTCATAAATTTTTATGGGATTTGGGTGTAACAATCAACATATACCGAATCGAACCGAACCGAAAACCGTGACCACGAAACCGTGAATCGAACCGAACCGTGGATTTTGTGAACCGTTCCACCCCTAATATATATATATATATAAATATATATACATATATATATATATATATATATATATATATATATATATATATATATATATATATTGAACATGTAGAACTTGAGCGCTATACCAAAATCTATCTGGTGACTTCAGCAAGAAACCAGAGGAGATGATACATGCTTTCCTAAGACTTCTTCTTCTGATTGGCTAATACTGTTAGTTTCATAGCACTCCTTTCCTACCATTGGCTGACAAACGCAAGAGGGGTTCCGATTGTCTTTTTTATTATTTTATTTACAGTGTATTTATTTTTGAGGGATTTTTTTTTCCCCCCACAGGCAATCGCTATGTGCCAGAAATCCGGAAACTTGAATCCCTGCTTTCATTCTCCCAGGTCAGGAAAGATCAGACAGCAAAACTCATTAAAATTATTCAGAGGTGCATGAGTCAAACAAAATTCCACTTTGTGGAAGATTTTTGAAAAAGACGAATTATTTGGCTAAATCAAAAGCTCAAAAGGTTGACTTTGCATTACATAGGCACTTTAAATAACTTTATTACCAATCAGAGATGCTTGAATTTAATTTAAAGCAGAATCCAACAATTATAATGAGCAGCTAAGTTGATCAAAGTTGTTCATGTCTTACCCAATCCTGGGATCATCAGGTTTTCTCATCTCGATAGTATGGAGGGGCCCGTTAAGGTTTACAACATACAGGGTGATGACCGGGTTCTCTTCACCAGCCTGAAGAGGATAAAACAAAACATGAAAATCTAAAATATGTGGCCTGGTTTAGCTTTATAGTTAAAAGCAGTATGGGTACCTTAGGGTATGGATATTCCTTTCCCACTGGGTACGGTGATCCAGTGAACATTGGCAGCTCCATCTTGGGCACGAGAGTGTCATTGATGGTGGCGTAGGCTAACCTGGCTCCATCAGGGGACCACCAGTGGGCGATGTGTGAGTGGAAGATCTCCTCTGGGAGAATGAAAGAAAAAAGTCTATCAGTCAAAATGACAGAGACATATTAGTCGTTTATTGATGTATCTGCTAAACATCTAGTCATTCTGTAGGAAGACGTGTCCAAATATGTAAGATTATCGGCAGACACTTCTGTTGTGTTCTTAATTTATTGGACCTGATGTGAAATTCAAAGAATTATATATATATTTTTTTATTTTAAAGAGGAATGGATTAGCATATAGTGAAGAGAAAGAAATCTATTTTTTTTGGTCATTCTGTCATTGATGCAAAATATGTATTTGAACAAACTCAAGGTGGACTGCAGGTAACGCCACTTAGACCTTTTTGTGTCTAATTAACTGATCTTCTCAGAGGGATTGCTTACTAATCATGCTTGAATTAAAAAAGGGCTTTGAGTCGATGGTGAATAAGCAGAACCAGTACAAGCAAACCTAGAGGGATATATGTAGCCGTTAGATTGGTTGTGTATATTTAATGAGCTAATTCATTTAAAGTGAGAAACATCTTGGACCCATCTGGATCCCACTGCTCCTCAGGGCTTTACTCTTGGGCCACTTTTATTTAAACTATACAGTATTACACTAATTATAATAACTCTGTTAATGAGACACAACTTTAAATTATTTATTATTATTATTTATTCACATTCTCTGACAGTGACTGAGAGTGGTCACAATATCGTTAATTCAACAGGTCAGCATTTCCATCAGTTTCATGCAGAAAAACACCATAGTGAATATCTTTGGTTTAATGACTGTCATCAATGACATTTTTAAGTCAGTTTTTAATAAAGTCCAAATGTCACAACAGACAAAAGGCGATGTGAGCAGACATATTAGAAATCTGTCAGTACAGATACTCTATTCCAGGTCTAAAAAGGGCATCTAAAAAGAAAAAAAAAGCCTTATCTGGTTAAACTGTTGAAAACTGACAACAAATAAAAAATCTCTCCTGCTACTTTTTTCTTTCAGTACATTTCCCTGACTGACACCGTCCGTTTAATCTTAGTACGTCTCTCTAAAACCTGCACACTGCAGCACATAGCACCGTTTGCTTAGGTCATAAATCACAGCAGCTTTTAATCTCCACGCACCCTGTTGACCGAACACACAACTCTGCTACGTTCCTCGAAATGAACCAAAGAGTTATTTCTCTCCCGGTGCAACAAAAGCACAGATAGGTTTTTGGCTTGTTACTTGCTGTGTAGAGAAGAGCTCCTTTTGGCTGAACTGACTTGAAACAATGTGTGATTACAGCTGTTTTGATGCTTCCCTCTGTTCTGCAAAACCACAGACAGATGGTGATTATTTTAACTGATAATGCAACTAAAGCTAACAGGTGAAACTTTATGTACAGCATGAACTAAGGTGATTGCAATCCTCCTTTCTTGATTTTTTGGCTCTAAAGTTAGTTTGCCTGCTGTTTACAAATAGCTCAACCTTGGCCAGATTTAATGTGGGGCAAATGTGAACATTTAAAGTGTCTTACAGATGTTCAGCAAGCTTAACTTCCCTGCTTTGACTGGTCCACTCAAACACCTGGAGATGAAATGAGCTCCAGTGCTTAGCTCCAGCTTTATGTAACCTGGTTTGTATCCAGTTATGAACTGAACCCTCACCTCAATGCCAATTGCCTTACATTTAGCAGGAACATTTGCAAATCCTGTTTAAAACACAAAACAAAAATATGAAAAACACAACCTATTGTTCAGCACAAACAGCATACTGACAACACCGCACTACACGAGGAAGTGAAAAACACAGCAGTTTACACCTTTTCCAAAGCTTTTTCCTGCTGTTGAAGAACCACAGTAATTTTATATCAGGAGTTTTCCCACAACCTGTTGATAGTGGTGATATTTATGAGCTAAATAACAGGATGTCTCAAGATGTTTATTTTTCCGAATCCTCGCCAGCAGGCACTGCTGGTCGCTCCCCTTGTTTTCCATGCAGACCTGTCTGCGTAGTAAAAACATCTTCCTAGGTTCATCACCCAAAGAGTGGTGTAAGCCTTAAATTACATACTTTTGCCGCACGAACCAAGCTTAATGCTTCAAAGAGCAGAGATATTTGCACAGAAATTAAATAACACAGAGATGGGCAGATGCAACTGGTTTCAATTGACCATCAAGGGTTATGAAAGGAAAGGGGAGTGAATAGAAATTCATTCACATACTAAATATATGTGCTCTTTCATCCTCTGACGTGGGAGCTGGCTAAGAGTTCATCTGCCTGGCTGTGGTTTTCCTTAAGGGGCCGCCTGTGGGGCTGGTTTACAGTTGTCTTTTGTATCTCTGCTTCTTCCTGTATCCCTGCTTCTATCTCCGCTCACACTCAGAATGGTTCTGCTGCAGGTTTTTTCCTGTTAAAAGGGAGTTTTTCCTCTCCACTCTCGCTACAAGTATGCTTAGTGTGAGGGATTGCCTTTGAGTCAGTGAGTCAATGCAATCAGCTGGTTTTCCTTAGATGGAAAACTCTGAACTCATCTGACTGTATGATCTGGTTGATTTGTCTCTTTAAAGTGCCTTAAGATGACATGTTTTCTGAATTGGAGCTATATAATAAACTGTTACAGTTTCGGACTTTTGTTTCTTGTGAAAACCACCTTCCCTCCACTTCACATTTAAAACTGCTGTTGGAACTATTTATTCTTTATTTCTTTATCCATTTGAATTGTGTTAATTCCTAAACTTATATATTTTTTGTATTATTTACAGACTTTATTTATAGGTTAATTGCTGAATTTTGTGTATTTATTTTTTGTTGTTATCATTTTTTCTTTCTTTATTTTATGTAAAACAGGAAGAAATGTGGGCTGTCCACTTTCTATAACTGTAGGAGCCTGGTAAGGACCAGCAGGCATTTGGGTTAGGAGCCTATGGGTTTTTACCAGTGCAAGAAAGGTGACAGAGCAAGGAATGTTTGAACTCTGTAATGTTGCAAGAAATATAGGAAATAAATCAACTGAACATCTACAAGTTTGGACATCAACTTCTTTTGCCTGCGTCAAGAAAACGCGATCCCATTGCCTATAGTGGCTTATTGGAACTTTATTGGATGTTTGGTTTGACAAACAATCGCCACTACAACTGCTCTGTGCTGGTTTATCACATAGCATACCACAAACAAAAAGTTTGTTTTCGATGTGACAAAATTAAGTAAAGGTATCGAGTAAATTAACATGTTTATAGGGGAACTGTATACAAAAAAAATCTCCCTCTGTGCACTGTAAAGCTAATTAAAACATCAGCCGTTCGGGGTGAGGAGAAGGAATGAGGCTGTTGGTTGAAAAAAGCCCAGTGAATCCAAGTGTACCTGCAGACAGAGCTCAGCAGGACCTAATTGCATCTTACTTCCTGATAACGTGCAGAGCAGTGAAGCAAAACACAAAACAGAGCTATACTACTTTTGGAAATAAATATATATATATATGTACATCTTTTTCCCCCCTGCATTGCCGTCTCCCCCTGCGGCAGCTTTAAATACCATTTTGTGTGGAGTGGAACCAGCAGGCCGACGAATTTACTCAACTGGCAGGAGCCCAGTCACCTTGGTTAGTCAAGGAGAACACCGTTACCTTCCTCAAAGCATTCTGATTTCTGTGAGGAGACGAAAGGAGAGAGAGAAGGTAGCGGTGGGAGAAACACTTTTAATGAGCTAACTCTCATTTTCCCTCTTAAGTAATGGGGCTGTCTTGTTTTTTTCAGAGCTGCCTCATTGAGACGATCACCAAGGTGAGCTCATCTCCTCTTTACTTGCTCTCTGCCTTGCCGTGCAGACTACATTATGCACTGAGTGGAGCGCATTATTAATGCATGAGCTACAATGAGTTGAGTGGCCAGTGGGAAATAATGAGTGCAAGGTGACAGGCTGGAGCAGAATGAGCTGATGAGATCAGGAAAATCAAACGTTCCATCAACAACTAATGCTAAAGTTTGCCCTGAACATATTTAGTATCTTGTTACAATAAGCAAACTTGAAATGTTAATTATAGACATGAATGTGGCCAACAGGGGGCAGCAGTGCAGCACAGAAATATTAATTCTATATTTCTATAATCAAAGCAGAGCCTTTTGTTCTGATGTTTTACTTCCCGGCCTCCATCAGCTGCATCAGTCCTGCAGTAAACATCTGGCAATGATGCAAATTGATTGTGAAACACAATTAAACTCCGTTACATGACAGCAGAGAGGTAGCTTTAAGGCTGTCTTAATGATGTGCAAATTAATTAGAGGGCATGTCAGAGAGAGATCCCTGTCACTGGATTCATCTCAGCCTTTAAACAGAACACTTCAGCATTTAATTGAAATTTTAGCAACCATAAGAATGATCTCCCACTCAAACTGTGCCATGAAAAATGATTTACCCCTTACAGATGTATTTTGTTCAGCCTGTTGAAACGTTTTACACAATCAAAAAATACACAAATGCCAAAAAATAATACAAAAACATTTTTAAGTGACAACCACCTGACATTTGTAAACCATCTAAAGATTGTTTCGCAGATTCAGTAACCCCAGGATGTTAATCTTTTCTGTAGTTCTTAAACAGTGAGATCTGACTATTATTGTTACCTCCTTCATCGCCCCACTCCTCTTGGTTGTAACTTACACATAGGTGTCTTTTTATTTATTTGAATAAGTGCAGATGTAGACTAGTTTAGATGATTTCCTAGAGCCTGCTTTACAAATAACAAATCCCACCTGCATTAGATAATTAGAAAGTTTCTTCTATGTCCCATTTTGAAGAGTGGCTAGAGCACTCAAAGGCTGGTTATACTCCCCGCAGCAGTGTGTTGCAGTGAGCTTGACGCAGACTTTTTTGATTTATACTTGATTTTGTAGCGTGATCTGCGTTATATTCCACGCCACAACGCAAGAGGTACAATCATGAACTAGCTGTGGGTCTAGATACAGCTGGAGGTGAGGAAGTGGGGGCAAGTTTGTCCGACAATGGAGGGACATATGGACGAAAAAGAGCGGGGATCCAGGTGGA